GTACTGGCCGCTAGAGGAAGAGAGGTTGGTGAACATGAGTGACGTCTATGACGACATAGAGGTTAACAATATGCTATGTTAGTTCACTGCGGACGTGAGCCACTGTGAATTACCCCAGTACAGACACAGAGAGCAACAAAAAAGGGGGATACAATGTAGGAGTGATGATAGGCACGCGCGTGTGATACATACTTTTTTCAACGCAGCGAATACTGTACACAGTTTCGACTCCGGCGCTCAGAAGCACTGGGCGAATTTCTGGCGTCCCGGGGACATACATACGGCTTGGTCGGTCACACCGGTTCAAGCTCCATGAACGACCACGTAAACTTAAAAGCCACACAACTACGAACGGCAGGGGGAAGCGGAGGACGAACGGGCAGGAGAAGAGGAAGCCAATGATACGAATTCCCGTGGAGACGTATCGGTCCCGCGGCCGCACGGACATTGCGTCGTGCCCCATATACGGTGGCCCAAACGGCCATGCGAATAAATCTATCACAATGCAGTAAGGAGGGTGAAGAGGAGGGGGCGGAGAAGAAAAACAAACAATAGCCCCGGATTCGGGGAGGGACTTGCCACCCGTGCGGCGACCGGTCGCAAATCGCTACGAATATCAAGATTTGGCATCAACAGCACCACGTCACAAGGCGCGAGAGGAGGAGAGAAGCGGGGAGGCAGGGGGACGGGACCTGCCTGAATAACTCTCAACATCAACTACGACTGCCGGGCCCGACCGGCGAGGAGGCGCCGCGCTGTTGGCGGGCAGGGCACGAAGCCTAGGATTCATAGAATTGCGGCCGTCGGCAAAACGGCGGGAGCAGGAGGGAGGAAGAGAAAAGGCTACGACGCGAACGGCCGGCGCCGGACTGAGCGCAGCAGGGGCTCCAGAGCTGAGTTCCCGCGGGCGCCCCCCCGCAACAGGGCGGGGAGGGCGGAGGCGACGGCGCCCGCGCGCAGGGGCCCACAGCGGGCGTCACAGTGCGCCCAGTACACGGCGTGCACTGTCAGTGCCCGCAAGAGCCGCCGTGTCCTCGCCTTGTCGGCAGCGACGGGATTGGCCGAGATTCAAGAAGCAAGCCAGCCGGTCACCGGGCGCCGGGAGCGCTAGGCCAGCGTGGCGGGAGGAGAAGGAGTGATACAGCTCGCCAAAAGCGTAGTGCTCGATAGAGTCCTCCCCGCGATTGCATCCGAGCAGGCGCCTCGCTCTGCCCTGAAAGCGCCGCGCTGTGCACCACCCATTAAAAGCAGCGCGGGCGAAGGCAACGCACGCTCGCGGGGGCGCTCGGGAAGACAATGGCCGGCCGACCGCGCACAGCCGGTCAGGCCGAAGCTGGGGGAGAAGGTCAATCGACCATCTGCCGAGCCTCGCCCGGGCGCGCGCGAGGGCAGGGCTGCCGACAGGCCTCAGTATGGTGACAGCCCGGCGCTGCCACGTCTTCCGCTCCGCGTCGCCCATCGGGTTGGTGTCCAGCAGGGGGGGCGCGATGCCCCGAGCGCGCGCCGCCGCGGCAGCGGCGCCCGCGGCCTCCCGGAGCCGCAGAAGAGAACGCGATCGGATCCAAGCGGCCATCTGTAAAGTGACGCCGCCCGCCCCGCGCAGCCGAACGAGCAGCTGCTGGGCCCGCTCCTGCACTCGAAGACCTCCGCCATGCCTGCCTTCGAATTGGCACGTCCGGGCAGCAGCGGCCGTTGCACAGGAGACGCGCGAGGCGAATTCGAAGTTGAACCCGAGGTCCGTGAGAGACTGCAGCGCCGGTGCTGCAACCCAATCTCCGGGCCCAGGGGCGAGCCGGAGCAGCACGCGAGCTTCTTGCTGAAGCGCCTCCGGAGGAACGCGCTCAAGCTGGGCCACGAAGAGGAACACGCTCTGGACGTAGACGCGGTGCGCCGCCGCCGTCAGCCGAAGACCCGCGCCGATCGACTTCCACAACCCCGCTCGGTCGTGGAACTTCTCCAACGGAAAGTCCTCGGAAAGCGCCCCGCGGCCGGGCCCCGCCGCAAATCCCAAGCACCTCGCGCGCGAGGCTACCCCAATCTGCCCCCACTCGGGGACCAGCGCCGCAATGGCAGAGCGCAGCTTCTCCGGGTCGACACTCGAGAGAGGGGCCACCGCCGTTTTCGCAATATTGAGGCGTAGCCCGGAGACCCGCGCGAACTCGGCGAAGATGGGGGCCAGCGTGGGCACGGCAAGGAGCCCGCCATGGAGGAGCACCGCTGCGTCGTCCGCGTAGGCCCGGCGCAGGGGCCAGCACAGTCGCCCCGCTCGCTCGAGGAGGAGGTCGGACGAGGCAGCGAGGAGCAGAGGAGACGGAGGACAACCCTGCCTGACCCCCCGCGTGGCCACGAAGCCGTCGTAGAACGCCCCGCCGAACGCAATCGTGCAACCGTTCTGGTGGTAGAGAACCCTGAAGTACCGGAGTAACCAATCGGGCCAGCCAGCAAGCCGGAACAGCTCGAGCAAGAAGCCGTGCTCCACCGAGGGGAACGCCGCCTCGAAGTCCATGAAGAAGGCAAGGGCGTCAGAGCACTGAATCGCGTCGATGCACATCGCCTCCTCCAGGTCGACGACGTTGGCGAGCATGGGCCGGCCGCGCAGGAATCCGCGCTGGTCCTGGGAAATACTGGGAGCCAGGGCAGGTTCGAGCATGAGCCGGACGGCGCTGGCGAAGATCCGGTTGTCCGTGTTGACCACGTTTAGCGGCCGCGTGGCGCCGGCAGTGTACACTGGTACACCCTCGTCCGTGGCACCCGCGGCCTTCTTCGGAAGTAGGTGCAGCAGGCTCTCGTTGAAGGCGAAACCGAGGGATGCGAGCTCGCCCGCCGCGTCGTCCTCGAGGGGCCCGTGGAAAGCGTCAAACAGCAAGTCCACCGCGAACTCGCCGAATAAGCGCCATACCTTGAATGGTATACCATCCGGGCCCGGGGCCGCATTGCCCGTAAGCTTTGCGGCGCGGCGAACGCGGCGGCGGCGAAGCCGGAGGCGAGCAGGAAGACCCAGAAGTGGGCTGTCCGAAGAAGATCAACATCGCGGCCTCGCGCCTCAAAGACAGACTCCCAATGTGCACGAAGAGCGTGGGCCACGTCGTCCGCGTTCGTCTGGGCCATGCCCGAGGAGCCCCGCGCGGCGGCAATTCCCACCGAACGGCCAGGAGCGAGTCGGTGTAGAAGCCGAGCACCCCGCTTGCGCGTCCGACGTGCCCGAGGGGCCGCCGCGCCATCCCCCCCCCCCCTCGCCCCGCTCCGGGGCAGGTGCGACCGAGGCGGTGGCGAGCTCGTCCAACGCGTGGTCACGGGCGAGCTCGGCTGCGCGATGACGGAGGTCCCGAAGACGCACGGGCAGATCACCTGAGAAGTCGTAGGGATTGTGGACAAGGTCGCGGAGGGGCGGGCACCAGGCAAGACACTTCGACACCTCGCCCGGGGGCCCGCGCTCGATGGAACGGATGAGCTTCATGGTCGTACCTAATCTGTCCTCGCGGGGCTCGGCCGTCGGGGGGGTGGCGTGGTCTGCGGCGATGCGCCGGGCGACCTGCTTCACCGCCTCCTTGAACATCTGGAGCTTGGCGAGCCCTGAGGTGGAAGGGGAAGTGGCGAGACGCTCCTCGAACTCGAGCGCGACCTTGCGCTTGAAGTCAGGGCGCTGCACCGCGAAGTCCGGGGCCCGCCGCGCGCTCCCCGAGGGCCTCTGCGGGGCCGTGCGGGACGCGAGGACGGGGCGGTGAGCGGGCAGCTGGGGCCTCCATCCCAGCGCAGCTGCGCGCAATTGCCTGTCGATCTGGTCCGTGACATCGCGGCTCATGTGGACCCTGTCCACTCTCGCCCTCGAGGAGGCTGAGGCGCGAGTGGGCTCGGGTTGGCACAACTCCGCGAGACCGAAAGGGGCGCCGTGAACGCGCTGGAAATGCTTCTCCACGCGCGTGCCCCGCCTGCCTGTGGCGCGAGCCGAGCTGACCGCAAACCGATCGAAGTCGTCCGCGACGCCAGGATCGTGAACGCCGACTGCCGGGGGGCGAGCGCACGGGAAAGGCGCGCGCGGAGACAACCGCGAAGCTCGTGGAAAGACGAGGCCTGCTCCCGCTCCGCGCGCGAGAAGCCGAACATGTCTTGCTCTCCGATGCCAGCGCCCGTCGGGAAGTATACTGCGACCAGGTCCAAGGCCCTTTCCGGGCCACGGAGCTCCCACTTGGCAGCCCTTCCTGGTAGAATTATCTTCCACATAGGGTCGGGGTCGAAGCACTCGAACAACGTCTCTTTGACTACGAGGCCGATGCCCGCACGAGCGGTTGTGGCACCAGCGGGCCACCATGCTGCCGTGCCCTGGGGGGGGGGGCGCCACACCTGGTGAGCCCCCTCCGCCCCGTGGGCCTCCGTGGTCATCACCACCTGCGCGCGATTCAAGAGGGGGTGCACGCGCGCGCTTCATCTCCTGGCGACCCAGCGCGACCGCGAAGAAAGCCTGGGCGTTCCACAGCGCAACCGAGATGCCCCCGCGACATTGCCCCAATCGGCGGGAAGGGTTCGCAGACGAAATCGATGGCGCGCGCTCCTGGGAGGCGGGGCCACGGCAGCTCGGGGGAGCGCGCCAAGGGCCCGGCGGAGCCGCAACGAGCAACGCGCGCTGCACGGGATGTCCTCGCCTGGGGGGCCCACGCACCGGAGCCAAGCATCGCAGCCAGGGAGAGGAAGACGGAGTGGGGGAAGAAGCCGATCAAGAAGAGCGCGGTCGGTGGAAGCAGCAGGAATGCCGACGACTTGCAAAGTATTCGAGGAAGGCGATGAAGAACGCGCCGAACTATGTGTAGACCTGCACGGGCTCGGAGAGGGACATCAAGGAGAGCCATGCTCGCTCGGCGCGACAGCTGTCACGTGGAGGGAGAAGGCGACCTCGATGAACCAGCACTCGGAGCCGTCCAACGCGACGCACCGACTTGCACCCCAGCGCAGCATCTGGGAGGCGTCCCAAAGAGCATCGGGGCGCGGAGGGGCTAGGTCCGCGCCCCTGTCCCGTTTCCCGGCCTCGACAGCGCAAGGATGGAGCCGTTGAGGATCTCGACCCGCGCGTGCTCGTTGCCGACCCGAATCGCCTGCCCATGAAGGCTGGCATGTAGCCTGCGGACCTCTTCCCGGTCACGAAGAAGCGCTCGAACGCGGCCGGGAGGGCCGCGCACATCGCGGGACCGCAGGGGGAAGTACTCCCCAGGGCGTAGCCCCTGAGGCTCCGTGGATTCCTGCAGCGCGACGCCGCGCTGCGAGGTCACATGGTCCATGAGCATCGCGATCACCTTGGAGTCCTGCGTGCCCAGCTCCCCCCGGACGACAATGTCCGCCATGTGCTCCAGACCTCCTCCCGAGTGGGTTTTCCTGCGGGCGGCCGCCAGCGCTGCAGTGGTCGCCGAGGGCGTAGCCACGGGGCGCCCACCGTGGGCCGAAGGCCGCCAGCGAAGGCGGGAGGCCGACACCTCGGGGTCATGATTCAGGATGTGGTCCATCACCCCCGCCCAGGTGTCCGAAGCCGCGACTGAGATGACCAGCGCCTTAGCGCGCGATAGGAGGGTCATCTGCGAGCATAGGGGCCAAAGGCGCGGCAAGCACTCCGGACTCGTGATCTCCAAGATCATCGCCTCCCGGTTGTCGTAGATGGTGTTCAGGGCGAAATGCACCGTGGTCGCCATGGAGCGGCGGAGGCGGTCCAGAAGGATGATGGCGTCGAGCTCCGCGCACGTCGCGGGGATGACCAAGTCCAGGCAAATCCTGGGGGTTTCCGGAGAGCTGCTCGCACTGCGTCTGTGCTGGCGCACGACGAGACCCGCCAAGGCCGGGTCTGCCAGGAGGGCAGGGAAATGTGGGAGGTAATCCGAAGGCAGGTCCATCAACGCGATGATGGACGAGTCGACCTCGAACAGGGGTGCGAGGGTTTACCATGCGCGGTACGTGGCGGGCCGAGTCCAAGGAGATGCCGAAGATCGCGAGGCCCGTCTGGACGTGCCTCGGCTGGTTCCGCCCAGGGAGAATCATCTCCAGAGGCTGCGCGCAGAACGACTGAGAACGAACTATAGGCGCCCATTTGTCCCCGAGGAGCGGGTGCGACCAGAGATCGGTGACCCCCACGACGTCCTTCATGCCGTGAGTGGGCGGGAGGGGCACCACCATCTGCAGACAGGCCGGTCGCCGGGCCGGCTCCGAGCGCCTCAGGAACGCGGCCAAGAGCCGCGCCAGAGCCCCCGCATCATCCGGGGCCCAGGCCACCACGTGCTGGCCGGCGGTCAGGTCCCAGGCCTTTTCGTCCCCCTTCTCCAAGAGCTCTGAGACCCGGCGGGAGATGTCCACGAAGTTCACGCTGTCGCCGCAGTCCGGGAGGATGAAGGACCACTGTGCGAGGAGAGTCACCTGGCAGCCGGGGGCAATGGGGGAGCAGAGGAGAGCGCGTGCGGCCGCGCCGAGCTCCTTCCAGAGTGGAAGCTTGATAGGCTTCGACCGCTTGCGCTCCGCCAGCACTCCTGAAAGCTCCTTCTCGCAGGCGAGAGCGGCGGCGCGGACCTCGTCGGCGATCTTGTGGATGCTGGCGTGGCCCTCCTCGTCCAGGGGCGCCTTGCCCGTCAGGTCGCAGAGGGCGAGACCGTGCGCAAGCGTGCCGCGATCAGCTGCTCCGAGGGGACGGGGCCCTCAAACCGGGCAAGACCGAGGCAAACCCACGGATTCGACGCGCCAATTCCGTAGGCCAACTTCCGGCATATCATTTTTAGAGCGTCGAGGTCCTTGGGGAGGGCGATGGGGAGCTGGTTGACGGACGGGTTGCTGATAGCCATCGCCTGGATGAGCTCGAAGTGCACAATGATCTCCTGCTCCGCCCACTCGCGGAACAGCGTGTCCCGGATGGTCATCTGGTGGGGGGGGCAACGGTGAGCCCTGCGACGTCCTGCGTAACCCCGGTGTCGTCCGCGAGGTCGGTGTCCATCTCCTGCTCCACACCCAAGCCTGTCGCCTGAGAGCCCTGCTTGGGCGGCACGAAACCCGTGCCGCCACCGGGCTCGACGTCGATGTCGGAGTCGCTCAGGTTGAGGTGCACGGCCGCCTGGGTCAGACCAGTGCCGTCGTCGACGAGGCCCGGGCCCGGGGCGGGCGGCGGGGCAGCCGCGGCAGAGCCATCCCCTGGTGCAGGGAGCCCTGGGGGCAGCGGCGGCCCGGCCGCCTCAACAGCGGCAGCCGCGGCGCCGGGAAGCGCCTGGCCGCAGCGCCGGCAGCGGCCCAGTTCGTCGGCCGAGGCGGGCAGCGCGCCAAACAGCGGGCACGCCGCATGTGTGCACGCCATCCCTGGTACTGGATTGGAGAGGGGAGCCTGCGAGGGATGAAGGGTGAGGGGAAGAGCCTGAATGCGCCCTGTGCGCGGGCACTTGAGCTTGAGCCACGCGTGTGATACATACATATGTACGTATATAGATTTAGATGAATATGTGTATGGAAAAAAAAAGGGCACGGCAACGGCAGGATTAGGCTAGAAGGGGGGAGGGGGGACACAGAGAGAGAAAACAACACACAAACAAAGAAACGAGACACGGAACTGGAACCACAAATAACAACGAAAAATGCAACGAAATCGTGCAACCCCCCAAAAAAAACACGTAGAATCGTACCCATGTGCGGCGGCTTCCGAAAACGGCCTGCACGCGCAAAAAAACGACAACCATGCCAAACATGCATACGTATGAGGGCGTGCCGCACCGACCCAAATACCAGCAACCATGTTGCAAACATTGTTTGCTGTCCCCAAGCCCCTTCGCGATACCAATGCTGACAACAACGCTGGCGAACATAGTGTTCGCACGCACGGGCCCAAAACCGTGTTGTTCTACCAATCGATGTCGAGCACTCTGTGTGCAACCTCATCCGTGAAACAACCAATGTTGCACAATCAGCGCGGTGCAGTTTATGTAATGCGACCTACGCGGTGCGGTTCCGGTTGTGCCGCACGCGCTGCGCATGGCATGCCGCTCGGCCTCAGAAGTGCACTACGTCAGGTGTACTATATGTTGCGCAATCTAAGTTGTGTGGTACTTGATGTGCGATATGTGGTGTGTAACCTATGTGGTGCACCCTACGTAATGCATTCTACGTGGCTCAGCCTACGCGGTGCAATTTACGCGGTGCGATCTATAGCGTGGAACTGATGCTTGCAAATCCGCTGACGCATGATATGCCCCGTGCAAACATCCCACCCACCCATCTGCAACTTTTGGTTTACAGAACCATGCGACGGCGGTTGCGATGAGTGTGTGGCGTTGGTTGGTGCATCTTGGCGGCCGCGCAAGCCCACGCACGCTCGCGCACACAGCGGCCAGCTAGTTTGGCGCGACCGACGCGGCCGCGGTGACGCTGACCACTGGGCATTCCCAAGCAGGCACTTCAGTGCGAATCCATGGCTTGGGCGGGCGCCTTATCATCGCGACGCCGATAACGCTAGACACGATTATGCGAGTAGCGATGATGGTGACGATGGTGGCGATGACGACGGCAATGCCAATGGCGCCGCCGATGTTGACCACGCCCGCCGATAACGATGACGATGTCTTCGCGTCGGCGGCGAAGGCTTTTTGACGGAGTTCGACATGCGCGCGCGGCCGGCGCACGCGAGTGGCCCGCGTGGTATTGTTTGACACGGATCGTGCCCCCCCCCTTCCCCTGCACGCGCGCAAAGGCGTGCGAACGAAATCGACACGCGGCGCCAAAAAAACAATTTGGCAGAATATGGTGCGCAAGTTGGAAAACCCTTGGTTTTCTTGGGAACCCGCGCGACCGCAATCGCAGGATTCGTGGAACAACTCATGTTTCAAACCAATTAGTTGTGATATCGTTTCGGGACGTTTGTTGTTGAAGTCCTTACGAAACCGAAGGTTGTTGAAATATTGCGGCATGCGTGCGCGACGACGCGCGCGTGCGCACTTCGTCCCATGTGTTGCAAAAGTTTTTCGCGACAGCGCGCGCGCCAGGGCGTCCGACCGATTTCTACATGTGCGCGCGAGAAGCACTTTCGGTAGCATGTTATGAGACGGTTGAACAACCTTTTGGTTTTCTTGCGAACTCAAGAGCGCGGGCGCAGATTGTTTTGAAAATCCGTGTTGCGAAACCATGTATTCTATATATATATATGTGTGCGTGACCTTTTTCATTTTGAACCCCTTACGGAACCTACGTTTTTCTCTGTGTTGCAAGGGTTCGGTATGTGCGCGTATCGCGCGCGTGCGCACTTTGTCAGATTGGTCCATGGGATTCTGGACAATTGCTGGTTTCTGAAAAAAACGATTGTTGTTGCTTGGGGTGAAGGGGGGAACAAATACCGGCTTGCCTGGGACGCTACGAATCGAAGAATGGGATGGACGGTGAAGCAACATCAAATGTACGTTGCAATACGACAAAAGGAACCCGTTAACCCCGTGACTGTGCGATCTACATGGTGCAATCTTCACGCCGCGAGCAATGCTGGACAATCTGTGGTATGACCCATGAGTGTGCAGCCTACGTGGTGCAACCAATATGGTGTCATTCCCCTTTCCGAGCTCGGACACACGCGAAAAGCCATTAAGGGACCCCCTTTGCGTGGCCGTTACCACCACAATGCAAATACACAGTTCGCAGGGGAGGGTTTACCAAAGCGGTATCTTTACCGCCGCGCAACACCGCCACAATAAATTATTATACCCCTCGCAAGTAAGATCTATAACGAATAGGGAGGACAATGATGATAATGCTAAATACGCACTCCTGCGGTATGCTAAAAGCACTTTGATATCGCTGAACTCCTCCTCCGCTTCCTCTCCTCTTCCGTCTCTCCACCCCAAGGTGCCAAAATAATAATTCCGGGTGCTGGATGCGTTATCGTTTCGCCGGAAGGGGGGGTCCTTCATGGCTCCTCGCGGTTCTGCCGCACCCACTCCTAGCGCAATTATCCCACGCACCCACTCGCAACTGCGTTGTTTGCAACCCCCATGCGGCGGCGAGTACGATGACTCCTTGGCGTTGGCTGGCGCATCGCTGCGGACGCGCTAACGCCCGCAAGCTCAAGCGCAAGCGGCCAGCTAATAAGGTTGACGCGACCGACGTGGCCCAGGTGGCACTGACCGCTGGGGACTTCCCAGCGCGTCACGCAGGCTGGACTGATGCGCGGGCACTTCAGTGCGAGTCGGTGACTCGGGCGGGCGCGGTATAATGATGACGTCGGCGACGGCGGAAACGATGATGAGTGGCGATGAGGGAGACGATGATGACGATGACGACGGCAAGGCCAATGACGGTGCCGATGCTGGTCACGCCGATGGCGATGATGGTATCCACGTGCTGGAGATAAAAGTGTTGAGGCGATTTCGACATGTGTGCACTGTCGACGCGCGCGAGTGGCCGACTTGGTACTATTTGGCACTAGTCGTACCCGACAAAAGGCATCGGAAAGATTTCGGCATCCGTGCACGTGAGGCCCGCCTGCTCGCAGCAGGTGGAAAGTATGAGAAACAAATGGTTATGTATGGGGCTCGCAAGAGCGCGCGCGCATGTTGTTCTACCCATGTGGTTGTCGTATGTTGTCGGGAACCTCGGTTTTGAAAACCTTACGGAACCTGGAGTATTTGAAGGATTCAGGCATGCGCGCGCGACGACGCGCGCGTCCACGTTGGCACATGATTGGCACGGGATGCTTGAACATGGATGATTTGTGATAGTTGAGCGCGCGCACTATATTCTTTGGCAAGGATGAAAAGGGCGATGAAAGGCCTGGCTGGGACGATCTGAGCTCAACTTATCAACGAGCGATGGGGCATGCTCACATGTACACTGTACTATCCCAGGGAGCGGCGATCAACCCAGGGGTGTTGGATTCTAACTTCTTTTCTAAATGGAGAATCGATGAGGTGCAACCTATGTGGTGCATTTGACTACCCTGCACCGCGCTTGACCACTCCACTGCTCGCGCAAACATCCCACCCACCCACCCGCAACTTGGTTCGCAAAATCTCTTAAGACCGTGACGGTGGGTACCAAATTGCACTTGCCAGCGACAGCGACGCCGACGACGACAGCGACAACGACGACAACGACGACACCGACGACGACGACAACGCCGACGCCGACGACGACGATGACAACGACGACGACGATGACGACGCCGACGACGACGACAACGACGACGCCGACGACGACGACGTCAACCACGCCGACGACGACGACGACGACGACGACGACGGCGGCGACGACGACGACGCCGACAACGACGACGACGACGACGACGAGACGACGGCGGCGACGACGACGACGCCGACAACGACGACGAAGACGACGACGACGCCGACGCATACGCCGACGACGAAGACGACGACGACGTCGCAAACGAAGACGACGACGAGGGAGGAGGGAGGACGACGACGGCGACAACGGCGACAACGACGACAACGACGAGGGAGGAGGGAGGACGGCGACGACGCGAACGACGAAGAAGGAGGAAGGACGGCGACGCCGACGACGGCAACGACGAGGAGGAGGGAAGACGACGACGACGACAACGACGACGACGACGACGACGACGACGACGACGACGAAATAGGAGGGACGACGACGAGACGCCGACGACGGACGACGACGACGACGAGAGAGGAGGAGGAAGGACGACCACGGCGACAACGACGACGGAAACGACCACGACGCCAAAGAGGACGACGACGACGAACACGCGGAAAGACAGAGGACGACGTAGGCGACGACGACGACGACGACAACGACGCGGGAGGAGGGAGGACGGCGACGACGACGACGACGACGCAAGAGCGCGCGCGCACGCGTTTGTTGAAAATCCGTGTTGCGAAACCTTGGGTTTTTGTAGGTTTTTTGGACGCGCAGTTTCGAAATCCTTCCGAAACCGATGGGTTTTGAAGGATTTCGGCGTACGCGCGCGACCACGCGCGCGTCTACACTTCGTCCCATTTTTTGCAGAGGATTCTCGCGACGGCACACGCGCAAGGGCGTTCGACAGATTTCGACATGCGCGCGCGAAGCTCGTTTGGTAGCATTTTGTGAAAATCTTGAATAACCTATGGTTTTCTTAAGATTTCGCAAGAGCTCGCGCGGAAGCTTTTTTAGCAAATCAGTGTTGCGAAACCCTGTGTGTTTGTATGTTTTTTTGGAAACTCGATTGCGAAATCCTTCTGGCGCCGAAGGTTTTTGAAGGATTTCGGCATGCGCGCGCAACGACGCGCGCGTGTGCACTTCGTCTCATTTGTTGCAAGGGATTCGTGAAAAAGTGCTATGTTAGAGCAAAAAATTCACCGCATAGTGTTTTTTACAAGGGACCCTCAAGGGGGGGGAAACCGGCCTGCCTGGGATGGTATGCTTTCATATTTAGGATGGACGAATGTGCAGAATATATATATATATATATATATATATATATATATATATAATATGAAATTATACTATCCCACGGGGAGCTGATAAGTCCGGGAGGGGGGGGGGTAGAGTCTATTCTCTTTTTAGAAAGGAGAATCCACGTGGTGAAGTCTATGTGGTGAAGCTATGCGAGGCCGCGACGAGGCGGCGACGGCGGCAACATAGCTGCCGGCAATCAGGCTCGGACGACGGGCGGCGACAAGGCGGCGACGGGGCGGCGACGCCGAAAACATAGCCGCCAGACCGACACTCAGGCCCACTGAGGAAAGGTAGAAACCCCTAAGTGAGAGCACTGTTGAGGGAACGTGCTCTACAAGGGGCCCAGGCCAACCGATTTCTGGGCGCTCCTGGGCCTTCCTGGACGCTCACGAGGCTGCTCGCACCACGTTTGCAAAGGCCCATGGCGAGCGGTTCAGAGACCGAATTTCGCACGTGTCCCAAGATGGTCCATGGGACTGTCCTGGATAACTCTTGCTCTTGAGTGCTGCTTGTGCCGCCTTGGGGGCCCAGGGGGTGCAACCAACAAGGCAAATTGACACCAACACGTACATAGCGTATGAGATGTTTGCAATATAGGATTGTCCGTATTGAGGCATTACTTACGGTCCACGATGCCTCCAAGATCGCCCAGAGGCGGCCCCCCAGACCTCAAGAAGAGCCCAAGAGGCCCAACAGACAACCCGAAGGGACCCCAAAGCGGAAACTTGCAGGTGCCCCAGGAGTCCTCCCCCCCAAGATGCCACCCGAGACCGTCAGCATGGTCCGAAGAGGACCACAAGAGGCCTCCGAGAAATTATGCGAAGTCCCTCCCCAAATACTACAAAATGTCTCTAAGAGAACCCATGGCAACGAACAATCACGGTGACGGTATGACCAGAAGGCCATCATATAGGAACCACACTGCACATGTGCCCAACTCTGGAAGCTATTGGTCTGGCTCCCTCTCTCTGCCTGCAACAACACCACTCTCTCTGTCTACACCTCTCCTACATCTCATAATGTCAAACTTGCAGGGCACGGCACATCTAAATTAGAATAATCGCGCGTGCTTCACGCGTGGTCAAAGTCTTCGACTTGCATGGGACCAAGCATATAGCGCGTCAGGGGGATCGAGTCAGGATCATCGGGTCCGCGACTTGGACACCCACGCGGTGGTGTCTAAAGTCGCACTGAAGCTTGGTATTAACGGCAGCCCTGGGCCATCCTTGGGCAATATTGCAACTCTCGTCGGATCTTGGAACCACACTTCCGCAACAAGTGGGTCCAGACAAGAAAGGGCAACAGGAGTTGTTTTGGCTTTGGCTGCTTTGGCCCTCTTGGAAGCCCTGTGTCTGCACTCCAGCGGCCTCTGGTGCGCCTCATTGTACTGCTTGGGACTTACTGGGGCAGCCTGTGGGCCTCCTGGGACCGTCGTGGGACCGTCCTGGAACTTGTCTGCACAGCTCTGGGAGTCTCCTGGAGAAGCTCGGACGTATGAGGAGAAGGAGGAGGGAACGGGGAGGAGGAAGTGGGGAGAAAGAGGACGAGGAAGAGCAGGAAGGAGGGAGGAGGAGGAACGAGAACGGAGGAAACTGGGAGAGGGAGTGAGACAGGGAGGAGAGACGGACGAGGATTGGATTGCAACGCTGATGAAGCCAATGCCCGTCAGCAAATGGGGCGCTGCGACGGAGGAGGGTGGAGGAGACGGCAGCTGAAAATGAAGGAGAGCAAGAGAATGAGAGAGAAGGAGGGAGGGAAACGGGAGGATGAATCACGGGAGAGGGGGGAGAGGTGGGAGACGGAGAGAGGGAGGAGGCAGGAGGAGGACGAGGAGAAAGAGAACGAGGAGTGAGTGGGAGAGCGTTTGTACACTTAGTGTTTGTATACCTTCTCCTTCTGGAAATGGAGGGAGGTGTAGCCGATTTGAGGCGTGCAATGAGTACCTTGTAATTTCTACGGAGGTTTCTCGGGGAAGTCATCAGGGCCACTTGGGAGTCTATTCGGGGCCTCCTGGGGACTTCTTACAAGCATCTTGGGGGACTCTAGGACCAGGAACCTATTGGGGACCATCGGAATGCCCCCAGGAGCCACCTTGGCACCAAGGGCGATCGGAGGACAGCTCGGGGGGCACTTGGGGGGCCTCTTTGGACCTCTTGGGCGCCTCTTGAGTCGCTTAAGGGCCGTCTTGGGCGCCTCTTGTGTCATCTTGGAGCCATTCTGGGCTTCTTGGGGCCCTCTTGGGGGCGTCTTCGGCGGCCTTGGGTTGCTCTTGGGGGCCTCTCGGAGCCGCCTGAGTCGCTGTTGGCAAACAGAACGTATATGCCAAACACCTCGATTTCCCAAAAAGGGGATGGAACTATGTTTGGCGTTCGGGGCCCTCGAGGGGGTTCGTGGGGGCATCTTGGGCCGTCTTGAGGCCATCGTGGGCCGTTCTGGAGCAGTCTGGAAGCCATCTGGGACGTCCAAAACTTTTACCGTGGATCCCGGGGCTTTGGGGAAGGCTCCAGCGGGGACGCCCCAGGAGGAGAGAGGGCCCTCAGTGTTTCCTCGGTGCTGCGGCCCTGGGCCCCCAGGGGCAGGGTGTATGCGAACTCATGTCCACAACTGGATCACACTCCTTTTGGTCAACCAGCGTTGCCGTACAGCAGCACATGTTCTGACGCTTGTGTGTGCCAATGCTGACGCCCGAATGGAATCGAGTGCCACTCCCCCTTTCAAGCGGAACGTATGTCATGCATCGGGGGCCCGATATCCCCTTACCCAAATCTCCCATCGAGAACGTTTCGCCAACACTACTTACATCACGACTTACCATCTCCAGCTAAGGCAACACATGGACATCGAGCTATGTCTGGTCTTGGGCCAGGCCACACCACCACAGGCTGCGCGGCACCGGAGGGGGCTCTGGCCTTATCGGGCGCAGGGTGTGCGTGAAGTAGCCGAGTCCCGCATCGTTCAGGGTGTCGACCATGCCCGACACGCCGCCTGCTGTCCGCAGTCCACAAACACCGCCAGGGCGGGGAGCAGGAGAGGACGAAGGAGGAAGAGCAGGATGACGGCGACGAAAACGGTGAAGACGACGACAAGGACGACGACGACGACGACGAGGACCACAACGTTGATGAGATGGGCGTTGTGAAACATTGTAACATTGCAGATCCTGTCGCTGGTCTCAATAGACGGCGCACAAGAGCAGCGCTCCCCCAACTGACCGCAAGAATGGTCAACGGAGAGCGCCAAATGCCCTGCTCTGAGTCTGGCTGGAATGTATCGCGGCAAACTCGCATAGCACATCACAACGGAAACCAGGATCAATCAACGAGCAACACTCGGTTTCCGTATGTTTTCCTCGCCCCCTTCCATCCGCCTTTTCCCTCCGCCTCCAACGCCTCCTCCACCTCCTCCCACAAAAAATCGGCCCCAATATTTTATGTTCTGGTCGTAGCTTCGAAGCGGGATCCAGCCATGGCCACGAAGACACTCCAAGAGGCACGGGACGCACGAAACACAAACAAAGATCCGGAACGTCGAATAACCCCTGTCCTTGTAAACAGCTATTCCCTGTCGCGCCACGTGACGTGTTTGTATGGCGGGCTGGGCGTTGCGCCAGAGACTTCCCAGCTATTCATGCTTATTTGGCAAAGGATTTGCTACATCGTCACGGATGGAGGGCGGGTGATTTTCAAAATGTTGCTCTCGCCTTCGCGCCGCGCAAGTTCGGGTTAAAGTTTGCCGGCGTTTTGCGGATGGGCGGCGGGCTGTGTTCAAAATGTGGCGGTTTTCGCCTTAACGCCCTGCACTTTCGTCTTCAACGTTTTCAAGAAATTCACGGATGGAAGGCCAGCCGTTTTCGAACTGTGGCTTTCGCCTTGACGCCGCGCGCTTGTCTTCAGAATTTGCAACACATCTGCGGATGAAAGCGGCTCCCTTTCAACGTGCTGTTTGCGCATGAGCGCTGCGCACATTCGTCCTGAGACTTTACACCAGCTTCAAAGCTTCTTATGGCTGGCGTACCAAAAACTGCGTTGTCGCACGACGTACGACTGCCAAAGAGCAACCTTTAGGCCGATCCGCGGTGTCACACACGTATGGACGCATGGTGCTGGGAGCCCTAAGATCTCGATGCGCACTGGGGCATTGTCAGATGAAAAGGAAACAGGACCAGCAATGTGCACGCTCGCGCAAAGCCTCAAGGCTACGGAGCAGATCCAAAGGGGGAGGGAGGAACACCGCACCAGGGGCCCACTAGGGCCTCCAGGCAACAGCAGGTCCAATGTTCGTGGGTCGAACTCCGGAATACGTCGAGACTATATAGGCCGGCTCCACAGACGGGACGTCGAAACGAACGCGCCCCTCTCCTCTTCCTTCTCGGTCCTCCTCCTCTCCCTTCCTCGTTTCCGCATTGCCTTCTTCCTCTACCTCTTCTTGTGCCTGAACAATCAGGCCCAAAACATCCACCTTAGACTGAACCTCAAGAGCCCTACGAGATGCCCCACGAGGCCTAGACTTCAGTGAGATATTCAAAGCTCTCTCGATGCAGTGTCCGTCTTCATGAATGAGACAAGATGAGCCACGAGCCAAAGCGTCGCGCAAGGCAACGTTGCCTCGGGTGCACGAGTCCGCGCGGCAACCAACGGATCTGAGAGTCCACATAAGCTAAATAATCTCGCACCACAGCATTTTCTATGGCATTCATTCTGTCTGCTCTAGACCCCGCCCTACTTTTCAACAGAATACCGAACGCGCCCCCCGAAAGCAAAAGCGCTCCTGCCGCAATAGTGCTCGCGACCCCTCTCTTAAGCCTTTGCGAGCGCCGCGCCGAAGACTCACCCTAGCGCGACGATTCCGGCGAACAGCCCCGCCCGCAACAAACGCGAGCCACCCCGACTGAGCGCCCCCGCGCCTCGCGGATTCAGGGCCTCCCGCATCCGAGGCGGCCGCAGGAGAAGCCCCTGCCGGATCCAGATTTCAAATCGAGATACACTGAGTCGCCGAGGCGCGAACAAACTTAATAACTTTGTTCGCAATGAGAGCATCCTCTATGGTGGGCGTCGGTAGCGCAGCGGCCAGCAACGAGGCGCTACCCGCAACGCCGGGGCGAGACTCTCGACCGAGCCATTGGATCTGCGCCACAGTCGTTCGGTGCGAGGATATCTCAGACGAGGTCAAAACCGCGCAGAAATCTGCCCTTCTCTCTTTGACGAGCACTACGGGAGCCAACTGTTCCCGGACGTACTTTTCCTCTTGATCCGCGCGCCGCCTTGCTTGATGTGGCGCCCGGCATAGTCTGTCTCGCCCTCTTCCCACTTCCCAGACTTGAAACGCTCGCACAACTTGTCTTTTCAAGCCCTCCAGAGGCAGAGAATCACCGGAAAACGATTACATCGTCAACCTCTATCAGCGCAAGTGCCTGAAGTCGACTGGCGTCACTCCTTAGAAGCCTTAGCAGCCAGAGACAGGGCTTAAGAAGCGATCGGGCGAACCCTTGTCCCTCAAGATACCCCGTCAACGTCCTGAGCCGCAGGAGCGGAGCATCGTCAAGGCCGCGCGCGGGCGCCGCCAATACAACGCGAGTTTCCGGGGGAAGGTTCAGGCCGGAACGCGCCTCAACGTAAATCGCCCCCCTGGGCCGTTCCAACCTACTACTCCCACAGAACGCGCTCTTAGCGCCCGCATTTCCCGGGGCCACCCCATGAAGGCGATCACCTGTTAACAAAAGCAAAATAATTTCTGACTGTGGAGTCGGCGCGTACACTTGTAGGCGATCACTGTCCGGGCTCTGGTGGCCGTCATTCGAGCAGACAAAATGTGATCTGGGCGCCGCCTTCTGACCAGGCGAGATTCTGCTGCGCTAAGCACTCGCGCCGCCCCCGCGGCGGTCAGCGCAGCCCATTCCTTAGCGTCTGACGCGGCAAGAAGCAATCTCTCCTTTGGGGAGAGACTCTTCAGCTGGACCTCGGCCCCCCGACGGGGAACGGGTGGGGCCCCAGCTCCTAGGCCAGCAAAACAATCCTGAAAATCAGAGGCGAAGGATTCCCCCTCGGCCCCTCGGACCGAGAAGACGACATCTAAACGCATGCCTCGAGCCAGCGATTCACTAATCAGGATGCGATCCTGCTCATACCCCACCTCTTCCTCGAAAAGGCCCAGAGAAGACTCTCCCCTAGCATTCTTTCCCCAGGCGGGCTCGGGCCAGTCGCACGGCAAGGGCGCAGACTGCCCGCGAGCAGCAGAAATATTCGGGGAAAGGCTTCCCCCCGGGTTGTCAATTGAGCCAGTTCGGCGTCTTAAGATGAGCCGGTTCGGCGAGCTTCTTCAAACAAACATGCTTTTCCATTGGCAGGGGTGCACTTCGCCGAATGGGGCACCCCCACAGAACGGGCTCACGTCCATTCGGCAACAAGAAAATCTCAAAATGAGCCGGTTCGGCGGGAGGGTTGCGATGAATTCTGAGCCGGTTCGGCGGCCGAACGAGCACAGTTAGCCGGTTCGGCGGCCGAACGGGCTCAAAACTGATGATCTGTAAGCAGATCGGTTGCACGCCGGACGGGCTCGCGGCTCTCCGCCGAATGCGTTTTTCAAGCTTGATATTTGTCATTATGTTTTCTGTGTTTTTTAGGCTGCGTTGCATTTTTGGCCCGACTGGGCCTGGGCTCAGGAGGCGCTGTTGGAATGGCCGCTGCTGGGATTCCGTGCGAAGGTCCCTGTGGCGCAATCAGCATGGCGTGTCGCGCAGGGGCGTCTTTCTATGGAGTCCACAGCAAACCAATACAGATCTGATAATTGAACGGCCACTCGTCCAGAGGAACAGCACTCGCCAGAGCTGCCGTGGGAAGCATTGCGCGGGCAGATCGAGGGGAAGAGCAACACAGAGGACGCAGGGAAAGAATAATCACGGAGGCGGTGGGCGAGGAAGAGGCATACAGGCAGTCCTCGGAGGAGTCCTCGCGTTGCTGCTGCCATTCCTCTTCCTCCTCCTTCTCCTCCTCCTCCCGTTCCCCATCCTCATTTCGTATTTCTGCTGGATTTGGTCGTTGGTCCAACGCCTCCCCCCCTTCTCCCTCCTGCTCATGGTGCTCCTCCTGCTCCTGCTCATGCTCATGCTCCCCATCCTCATCCTTCTCCTTCTCATCATCCTCATCCTCCTTTTCCTCAACCGCATCGTCACCATTATCAGCATATTTCTCTTCCTCGTCCTCCCCCTCCCCTCCCTCCATGGCCTAATCGTTATACATCTGGCCGTCGGTCAATTGCGCCTGATGTTGCTCCTCGCCCTCTTCCTCGTCATCATCATCATCATCATCATCATCATCATCATCATCATCATCATCATCATCATCATCATCATCATCATCATCATCATCATCATCATCATCATCATCATCATCCTCGTCAGTATCATTATCATCCTCATCATCATGGGCTTCGTCCTCCCCTCGCTCCCGCTGCGTTTGACCGTCGACAGAATGGCCTCCCTCTCCAGCCCTTGCTCTTCTCGCTCCTGCTGTTGGTGCTGCTCGTCCTCTTACCTCCGCCACGTCTCACTCCTACTCCATGTGGCGTCGGTCGAATGGCATCCAGCTCATTGCTCCACCATCTCCTCATTCCCGCTCCATCTGAGCCTCGGTCAAATGACCTCCTGCCCCTTGTGCTCCTGGCGTTGCTCCTCCCCCCCCTCATCCTGCCCCGCAGGGCGCGAGGAAACAATGGCGCACTGACGTGGGCCCTCCTCCCCTTCCTCCTCGCACTGTCCGTCCGTCTCTGTTCCAAACCTTTTCCCTCCACGCCTCATCCCGTTATCGTCTCCTTTGCCTGCGTTCCCCCCTCTGTGTTTCCAGCAAGAGCAGCAGGCGCAAGTGGAGCAGAGGGGAGGAGGGGGGGCACTTGGCCGACGGCCAGATGGGGCAGGAGTGAACGGAGGAGAAAGATAGGCACCAGCAGCAGAAACAGGATAAGCAAGAGAAGCAGGAGGAAAAGGCAGGGCG